AGTGGAATATTTTGTATAGCTATCTAAACTCCTATTTTACTTTTTGCTGCAGTTTACCGTTTCCTTACAAAATTTATTGGGATTGTAACGACTGCGAACCAAGTTCTGTGAATTTTGGTCGTGCGTCAATCGACGTAGGTAGTGTGCGTCGATCGACGCAAGGTTAAATTGAACCGACAATTTCAGTTTTAATCGTTCGGTTTGCGGCTCGGTTTAGGGAAAATCCTAGGGTGCGACTATTTAAGTCGAGGAGACGCGGATTTCTGCGTTGTTCAGAGAAAAACAAAGGGTTTGAGAGAGAATTGAGAGAGAAGAAGAATCCTTGTGTTCTTGTTTCTTAAATATTTGGAGGCAGTTATGTCCGATTTTAGAAGAGGAGAGTAACATCCAGTAAGAACAGATCGGATCAGAGCAAAACGTTCAGGTTAAGTTCTCCACTCTCTGATCTTGATATGGGAGAAAACGGGTTGTCAATCGGATGTGTATTCTAGGAGTTATCATTGTTTGACTGTGAGAGGTTTTTGCAGTTTCAGGTCTGCGATCAGTCCATTTCGAGGGAGGATTCCTGTGGGAAAACGGCATTTTTGGACCAAAACTATTGCCATCGGGCCTTTTTGGATCTGATCTATTAACATTGGTCAATTTAAACCCGAACCTCAAATTAATTCAAATTAGATACCCAAACATACGATTTATTGTTGATTTGGACATTGACCAAGTTACCGTTAGTCAACGTTAACGGCTGTTCCTTTTGTCTACGTATTGTCCATGTCACTATTCCGTTAAAGTTGACTAACGGTAACTTGGTCAAGGTCCAAATTAATTTGAGGTTCAGGTTTAAATTGGCCAATGTTAAAAGATCAGATCCAAAAAGACCCGATGGCAATAGTTTTGGTCCAAAAAGGCCGTTTTCCCGGATTCCCGTCGAATCAAAAGGAGTCAGAAGACGATCCACATACCGTTGGTTAGATCTCTCTATCTAGTTTTCAGATCAGATTTTCGATCCTGATTCTGATGTAAGCTCCATTCTATGTGTGCGTTCGAAGTCGGCGTGTTGTTCCTGTTTTCTGAAACCCTAATTCGGTTTAGGTGGTTTTTGGAGAAAGGATCGAGGTTTTGTTGGTTCGTGAGAAAGAGAAGATAGAGCAGACGCTGTAGCTGAGAAAGAGGTCTCTCTTCGTAGTTGTTCTTGTCTAGAACGATCCAGAATCGAGGTGAGTGCGTGACCATGACTTATTGGGTAGATGGAATGCCATGATACGTGTTGATTCTGTGGATTGAGATGATTGATTGTTTGGAGGATGTTGCCTCTGTGATTTCG